AAAGGAGGGGGGCTAATGAGGAATTGGTCAATGGACCCAAAGAATGATTGTGTATTGTAATGATGAATAAGCTGCCTATACTGATCTAACCAAAACACATTCTAAACAATTACTGAAAATCAGCTTTGTGCCCTACATGTATATATAATAAAAAATAAAAATTAAAAAAATAAAATAAAAATGATTCATTATATACATTGTCAGAGTCATGTATACATTATATGCATGACTATGAATGTTGACCTTTGGTCCAAACAAAGCAATACACTTTCTTATTCATTTAAACCATCTATTTTTTTCTCTGTTCTTTTTTCACTTTTTATTTTTCATCCTATTTGTTCCACGTTTCTTCTATCCTCCTCTGCCTATCCTTAGAATTGATACATTTCTGTTTAATTCCTATTGGATACTGTGTGTGGAAGGAAAATAACAGAAACCCAAAGCAAATCAAGGACAAAACTAATTCTAGCTTAGCGCTTATTTGGACTCATTTTTCTCTATATATGTGCCTCATAATAATTTATAATTGGTGGAATAGTAAGCTTTGCAGTTAGGAAGATTAAGAATGATAACATATTTTGCACTATTACTTGAGTGATAAGTACAAATTTAATCATCTCGAGCATTTCATTAAACCTGAAATGAATACATTTTTCCCCTTTTGTTAAAAAAACTAAATGTGATGGCATCGTTATATAGTGAATTACTTTATAATTTCCTTAAACCTGATAAACTAGACTAATATTTAGAAGACTTTATGGCATTATCTATATTGAATAGCAAAATTTTGGGCTAAACCTATTTGGAATATAACAGTACAACTTGCTATAAACGCATGAACAATCTATGAGTAAAGCAGTATCAATTTGAACTAGGAAAAATTAACATATTCTGAATGGATCTAGTTGAGTGTATTCTCTGAATATGCATCAAGCAAAAATAATGTGATCTTTAATGATGTACTGCACAAATATTTCTAAATAAACAGAAGATAAGAGCATTAAAATAAAAAAAATCCAAAGTCCAAAAAACAAACAAACAAAAACAACCTTAAAGTACATGAGTCACACGAGCCATTAGTGGAGAAAAAGTTTTAACAAATTTCTGGAAGGCAGAGGTGATGAAGAGTCGTGATTAAGGATGTAGGATGAGATCAGTTGCATAAATGTCTATGCAGAGGAGTGAGAGTTGAGGAGGAAGATGCTCTGCCTTGAAGAAGAGAAGTCAGGGACTCAGGAACATGGGTTAAGGATGTTGGGAGAGACATAACAGCTCTGAGAACAGGGACACTACTGAAAGCACGCCTTAAGAGAATTAATCCTGTCTTCATCCCCAGAGGCAAGACCCTAGAAGGCAAGTAAAAAAAAAAAAAAAAAAAAAAAAAA